TTTAAAAAGAAAAACAAATCTGGTATATTCCTTCATGTCTGATATACATGCACATTTGGGAAAAAAATAGACTGCAGACAGATACATAGAAAACTGATAAACTGTGGTTATCTCTAAAAAGAGAAGCAGATTTTGAAAGTGGTGATAAAGAGGTCTATAAAGTTTTAGTGTTTGAAGTTTCTGCCATAAGATTGGATTTGATAAGTTACTTACAGAATTGAAAAGTTACCTGTGCAGAGAAGAGAAATAAATGAAAATATAAACTGCAGTTATCCTCATGAGCAACACTGAGTTCTCTGTTGATTAGATGTATCTGCTTCTACCTTTGTCAAAGTATTTCCCTTCCACCAAAGTCTCCTTCCTACTAGGAGGTTCAGGCCCATCTCTGTTTCAAAGCATTGCTTTCAAGTTTATTGGCAGCCTCTGCCCCACTTGCTTGCACAAGTTAGAATTAAATTATCCTATTCTAATAAAGCATTTACTGGTCCAAATCCTGGTCCAACCATGGCTACCCACTTCCATGTATTCTTCTAAGCCACAGCATTCTCTTCACTGACCCATCTCTTTGTGTTTCTGTAAAGCATTAAAAGTATCTTTTGGACAGTAATATAAAATAGGTACAGCGCAGGGGTGGTACTTGTGGAAGGGGAGGGTAAACAAAGGAAATTAAGGTGAGGGAATATGGTTGATGGACTTCATATACTTTTGCAAACAGAACAAAGAAACCTCTTACAATAGTTTTAAGTGGGGCGGGAGGGGCTCAAGGTGGGTAATGGTGGGGGCAATCTAACCAATGTACAATATAAACGTATTTGGAACTATCACAGTGAATCCCCCCCCATACAACAAATATATCCTAATGAAAAAATAAATAAAAGTATCTTTCAGTTGTTTCTATCCAGTTAATCTGCCTAATGTCTGACTGTGAAAATCCTTCACTTATCCTGTCACTTTGCTTAGCTGTTTTGGGCAATCTACCGTGTGGCAGGATCTTACTGTACTCTTTATGTATACACAGTTGTCTTCCTGTGTACAGACAAATGCTTTGCCTCAGATTGTCTTACTTTCAAGCTGAACCACCCTTACAGTTATAATATAAGGACCGCTTCCTGGTCCTGGTGATGACATGAGCATTGCCACTGAATGCAGTATCTTTTGGATACTTTGCCTTAGACTGTTGTCTATCAAGTGAGATTTGGGTAACTGGGTTCAGAATAAATGTCCAGTGTCAGTGTAATACAGTTCAGTAATGGGTTGAGTACACCATGGTTGAGCGCTTGGTTAGCATTGCCAGGCCCTGGTTTCAATCCTCAGCACCACAAAAATTATTATTATTAATTCTATATGTAAAAGTAATAAAATCCAATAGCAATATTTGTGATGCTAGGATTGATTTACTTCATTTTACATAATTAGTAGTAGTAGTAAACTATAGGTCTTTCATCTTATTACACATTGATGACCATGTTGAGGTCATCAAAATTTGTTTTGGGAACAAACCATGTTCATGTTATGACCTAAAAGAGTATAACAAGTAAAACTTTACTTATGGTCCATATGTAAAGACTACCTTTGTAAATATTGTTATGAAAACCTATTGTTATATGATGTTTTATCCAGTGCTTTGTTCAAATAAATTTTCCCATTTCTGAGAATCCGATGTCATGTTGATGTCTCCTGTGGGAATTTCTCAGCATCACAGGGCATGTCATACTACTTGGAGCTCAATTCCTCTTAACCTGAGAGCATTTCTTATGGGTTAGCTTCTTTGTAGCATCCTATACAACAGCAGATTTTCACTTCATCTTTTTCTCCTTGTACTTTCAGTCTCCAAGTTTCTCTTGCAATGAATATTACTTTAGAGCTAATAGTTCATTCTAGAACTTCCTTATAGTATTTTTAAAGTAACAATGTGATATATTTATTTGACCATTTTAAGGCTACTATGCTGAATTAAAATGTCAAACATGAAGTTTAGTAATGTGTGAATAATATTGTCTTAATTCAAATAGTGTTCAAATTGAGAGGATAAGATGATAAGTCTGAGTCAACAAAGTAAAATGTAGTAGGTCATATTAGCAAAACAAGTTAGATGGGAGTTACCTGAAACTGTCAGGGTGAGCTCTTTGCATCATCACTTCCTCACTGCTGGACCTACTTTTGTAGCTGTAATATTTGCTCAATATTTCACAGTTCAATTTAACAAATTAAAATAATTAAAATTATTACAAAGTCATAATGATTTAAGGCAGATTATTTCACTGTTTAAACTACCTAAGAATAGGTTAATCCTTTAGAATTGCCATTTGGTTTTATAGAAGATTCAATTTATTAGACTTAATGGACTCAAATTTCTAGGAGATAATAATTGTGATCTCCTAGATAGTTAATTGTTTACTTTTGTTAAATTGTCTATATTCTAAATATCTAAATATTGTCTTATTTCTGTTGTTATTAGTGTTTCAACATAGAGGAAAAAATATTAATGCTAAAACTAGCTTTCCGGTGCCATGTAGTAAGCAAGAACAGGTTGTGCTGCAAGCTAAGTCTTTAATCACTGTTTGGAGTGGGCATTAACCTCAGAAGCACCCACAATGTGGTGAATCCATAAAAGCAAAAATTGCTGCTTAATATCTCCAAAACAAATTACCTTAAAGGTTAGTGTCACATTTTAAATGACTTATCCAAAGTATTTTAGTAATGTGGTCTATGTGTATCTCTTAGTTTAGCATGCAGAGATGGTATTGATTTGCATGTTTTATTTATTTATATTAATAAAACAATTGTCACAAGGAGTACAGATATATTTTCATTTTAAATTCATTTCAAATATGATGAATAAAATTTTTGTGAACATAATTTTCATTACTTTTGACCAGCCATTGGGATGGTTGTGATCAAAAAGGCAGACAGTAATTAATGTTGGTAAGAATAGGAAGAAAAACAATGTAGAGAAACTGGTACCCTGGTTATTGCTGGTGGGAATGTAAAATGGTGCCACCACATTGGAGAACAATTTGGCAGTTCAAAAAGTTAATAGTGCCTGCATGACATTACACCTCTATTCCTGGGAATATAACCAAGAGACATGAAAGCATGCTGGTACAAGACTTGCACACAAATGTTCCTAGTTGCATTATTCATGATAACCAAAAAGTAGAGACAACTCAAATGTCCATCAACTGATGAACTGGTAGAAAAATAATGGGGTACCATACAATGGCATATTATTCAGACATAAAAAGTAATGAAGCATTGGTTTATGCTACCATGTGAATAAACCTTGAAAACATCAAAAGGTCACATATATGATTCCATCTGTATGAAATGTTCAGACTAAGCAAGTTCACAGAGACTGAAAGTAGATTAGCAGTAGCCAAGCCTGGAGCCCTACTTGTGAACGTAAGGTGTTTTTAGGATGATAAAAATGTTGTAAATTAGATAGCAGTGATGCACAACTATGTGAATGTATTTAAAATTCCTGAATTGTCCTCTTTAAAATGGTGAACTTGTTGACATATGAATTATGTCTTAAATACTTATCCCATGTACTTTAATGAAATTATAAGAACTTTGTATAATGCTAGAACTTTCCAAAGAAGTTAAGCCCCAAAGTTAACCATTCTCCTTAAATCTTACCATCTGTTAAGTAATATGTAATATTCATTGTATAGAACTTCTCCACTCTGAACGGGAAGTGCTTTTACCGTAGATAACAATGGCAAGAGTGAAGTAACCTTTAGCAGATATGTAATGCTGTGTTCTGACTATACTTTGAATGTTATCATCACTTACAAGAATAAAATTACTACTAAATAATTTTTATAAATTTTTTAGAATTACTAAAAAATTCTAAGTTTATTTTACCTAACCAATGTCAATTAAGAGATTCATATATGTAAGGTAGATGTGGTAGGCATGCCTATAATCCCAGCATTTCGGATGCTATGGCAGGAGGATTGCAAATTTGAGTCCAGCCTGACCTACATGGCAAGACCCTATCTCAAGAAAAACCATAAGCTGTGTACCAGTGGCTCACACCTGCAATCCTAGGTACTTGGGAGGCTGAGATACAGAGGATTTAGTTACAGGCCAGCACTGACAAACAAAGTTTACCAGACCCTGCATCAGAAAAAAAAGCTGGGCATGATGGCATGCCCCTGTCATCCCAACTAGGGCAGGAGGTATAAAATAGAAAAATTGTGGTCCAGACCAGCCTGGGGAAAAAGTGGCACCCTATCTCCAAAATAACCAGAGTAAAAAGAGCTGGAGGTGTGGCTTAAGTTGTAGAGTGCCTGTCTAGCAAGCACAAAGCCCTAAGTTCAAACCCCAGTACCACCAAAATAAACAAAAACAAGCAAAAAATGAAAAAAACAAAAAGAATTTCATATAATAATGAAAGGACATTGTTGTACAGTCAAATATAAAACTGGATTTGAGCCCCAACCTGAAATTTGCTAGCATCTTGTTCTTGTTAAATTATTTAGTATCTCTAAGCCTCTGGTTCCTCATCTAATAGGGCTATTGTAAGGATTAAGTGAGATACCATGAATAAAACAAGTTACACTTTTTTTTTGGCAGCACTGGGATTTGAACTCAGAGCCTTATGCCTGCTAGGCAGGCATTCTTAGCGCTTGAACCACTCCACCAGCTGATGCTGTAGATTTAAGAAGGCCTGTGAAAAGTACAGGAGTTTGATCATTTTAAGCAGTACAATTGAAACTTGCTCAGTTTTTTATCTTAAGTGTCTTATAAAATAATAACATATAGGCAGTAATTATTTTTTAATAGAAAGTTGGAATGAGGAAGTTAATTGGTATGTTATATTCTCTTCTGGATGTATTGCCATACATATGCCTAAGTTATTTACAAAAGCTTTGCTAAATAAATATAAATTATTAATTGTATAATACAAGGGTATGGCCAAAGTAGAAGTAAAGTTTATATAAATCATTAAGACTGCTTCCTTTAGAGACTCATTACCATTGTACTTCTTTCAGATACAGAGAATTACAACTTAGTACCGAAAGCAAAGTAGCAGAATTTCTCCATCAAAGTAAATTAAAGTCTTTTGAAAGTGAGCGGGTTCAACTTCTGCAAGAGGAAACTGCAAGAAATCTCACACAGTGTCAGCTGGAATGTGAAAAATACCAGAAAAAATTAGAGGTACTTACATGTAATTTTCTTTTGACATTAGCATAACATGTGAGTTCTCAAAGTGCAAAGTTTGTAAGTTTATGTACAGCTTTCTTTCTCCTGGAGGACTTCACATTATCCTCACCAAAAAAAAAAAAATAATAAGAAAATACGGATTTCAGAACAACTTATACCAAAAAGGACTGGAATTGTTAGAAAATAGCAATTGGGAAAGATCTCATTGAGAGTAGGAACCAAAAACACATTTTCTTGCAATACTTTTACTAAAAACAGTACAATCTATACCAAGAAAAATGTAGCACCACAATGATGTATGTAAGAATAAACACCATTATTCTGAAAGGGAATATTCAATATTATATATTTTCCAGTTTTCATAAAGTAATATTATATGTTCATTTCTAATAGAATCCTTGTAGCCTTTTTTTTTTTTTAACTCAACAAATTAATTCTTTGGAACAACTGGAAGGAAAAATGAAGGCTAGTCAATTTTTTTTTTTTTATGAAAGTGACAGTAAAGTTAATTAGGAAAACAGTACCTTTCCAATAGACTGAAAGCACATCATCTCTAGAGAGAGAACAAAAATGACCTAGTCAATATTTTTAAAGAATATTTTTCAAAAGACATAATGAGAGGAAATATATATCACATTTTAAAATGCATTCTGAGGTAGGAGTAATTAAAACACAAGCAAGTCTATTCATGATATCAAATACAAAATCCAAGAACATACTTACATAAATTTAAGAATCTGGGACTGGAGCATGGCTCAAGTAGTAGAATGCTTGCCTAGCAAGTTCAGGCCCTGAATTCAAAATCCTAGTACCTCCAAAAAAAAAAAAAAAGAGAAAGAGAGAGATTAAGAGAAAATGTTTTTATAGTAAAGGTTATCTCAGTGATTGGACAATAAGTGGTATAGTGAAAGCCATTTGAGTGTTTAGAGAAAATAATTGGATCCATGCTTCTCACCATATACCATAATAAAAGTCACATAAATTACTAAGATGAATTATAGAACTATTAGAAGTAAATACAGATGAATTTTTCTTATTTTGGTTTGAAATTAATTTGTTAATGTATTGATTAAATCAAGGGAAAGTATAAGAATAATAAAACCTGTATGCTAAAAAAAGTTTGAATAATATTAACGGTGAAATGGGAACTGAAAAGTAGTATTTGTGTAATGTCTGTATGAAAAGCGGCCTGTGTCCTTAATTTTAAAGATCATTTATCAAGAGGACATGTCTTAAAAGCTGGGCATAGTGGTACACAGATGTAGTCTCAGCACTTGGGAGGTCAAGGCAGGAGGATTATGAGTTTGAGGTCAGCATAAACTATCTAGAGAGACCCTGTCTCAAAAAAATATTTTTTAATTAAAAATAAAAAAGACATATCTTCCTCTTCTAGATAAGTGGAAAAAGGAATGGACCATTTCTAAACTAAATACAAATTGCTAATAAATAGTTAAAAATGTATATTCTCACTGATAACTGAAAAATAAATTTGAACTTTTTAAACCTTTATTCAGGTCTGTATGTTGTTTTTAATGTAATGACAAGACTATCCTTGATTGAGACATCTTATGCAGTTAGACAATAAAACAGCCCTCTAGAGGACAATGTGATAATCTGTGTTAAATGCCTTAAAAAACTGATTAAAAGAATTGTACCTAAGGAAGGACTAAGAGATGCTTATAAACGTTAAATGTACGTCACAGCATTGTCATTACTGAGCTATACCGCACATACTAGCCCAAGGCTGTTAATGTTTGTAGTATGCAGTACTTTCCAACAGTCCTCATAAGCCTTGTACTGAGCCTCATTATGCCAGACACCAAGTTTTGAACAGGGCTTCGAGCAGACCCTTCTGTAATGATGGAAACCTTCCACATCTGCACAATCCTGTTCAGTCTGAGCCTCTGGCCATGTGTGACTGTTTAGCATTGAAATGTGGCCAATACAATTGCAAACCAAATGTCTCATTTTAGCTAACCTTAATTAAATTAAATCTAAATTTAATATAGCCACAAATGGCTAGTTGCTATGGTATTGAAGTGCATGCACTATACAAACATCATCAGTATTGGGCATTGGTTAGTTTCTAAAATAATTTTCCCTTTAATTTTATCACCACAGAAAAATAGAAACTGTTTTCGGCTCCGATAGAATTTCTTATTGCAGTTGGGTAGTGGTTTCACCTGAGAGCTTTCGAATCAACAGAGCTAAGAGATGAATCCCAGTTAGTCACTGCTTTCTGGGTAATTGCTCATTTTGTTTGAGCCTCAGCTGCTGCATCTGCCAAATGGAAATAACAAGAACAGCTGATTCATAATGTCATTATACAGAGTCTGCTTGACACAAATAAAGATCCCATATATTCTTCGTATTTATTAGATTCTTAAGATATTCTTTGATGCCTCTAGAATTTTGGTTTTGGTAAAGTTGAGAAATGCTAGAAAAATGCAAATAGCCTTCTCCAAAAGACAAATATCTGTTAGATATAAAAAATCAGTGAGGTTTTTTTCACTTATAAATAGTATGCCATTTAGGACTGGAAGTGTGGCTCAAGCAGTAGAGCACCTGCTTTGTAAGTGTAAAGCCCTAAATAAATAATGTGCCATTTAAGCTCAAGCATTTTACACTTCCAATTTTCCTTTCTGTATATGACAGTTTCTTTTAGTTATGAAAATATATACTAAGAGGTCATTAAACAAAAGCTGAGAGGCAAAGAAACTGAAAATGTATCAATTAAAAGCCTATCCTAATCGAAAATAAATCAGATATTAAAGCATTTCCCAAAAGCTACAATGTAAGGAAATTACATTATAAGAATAAATATCATAAAATATGACATTTTGTGTGTAATCTGGAAGTATGTGTGTTGTACACACACACATATCCAAATATCAAAATATTCTTTCTTAGCCATTTTCATTCATCTGTCCTCTTAAAAAGACCTTAAAAGATCTGTACATTCTAAATTAGTGAATTGTTTTAAAAAACTATTTAACGGTGTTAAGGATATATCTTAAATATGTAAAAAGCTTCATACACAGATACTCATTGCAATATTATCTGCAATAGTGAAGAACTGAAAATGAAAAATCTCATTGGAGAATGGTTACATTACTTGTGTGCATGTGGAATAGTATCCAATTGATATCTTAAGACCACATAATATGTAAAATGCACTTATCACCATATTAGATGACAACAGCCCTTTACACAACTACATACGTTATATTTTTAAAAGCTTGGAAGGAAGATTTTGAAGAAATATGCCAAAAAGGTAATAATAGTTGTGATTGATAAATAGGCCATGGGTTAATTTTATGTTCTATTTCTACTTTTTTTTTTCACTCACAGAGAAATCAAACTATTGCAGGTCAAACAACTAGTAACTGAACTTCTGTAGTTAGAACTCACTCCTGACCAATCTGACTTCAAACCCCACAGTTTTAACCACTACAGTATTCAAATAATATAATAAAATATTTACTACGGTAATCAAAAGATTTTAAATTGAATCCCTCAATTTAATACTTCTTAAATCTCTTCTTTAAATAATGCTTTATGAAGTATCCCATCTTCAATATTTTAATTCTTTATCTCTTTAGATATCTTTGTGCAATTTCTCTTTGTTGGGGGGTAGGGTACAAATGAAAAAAGATCAGCTAGGCTTGGGAATAGTCATTTTTAACACTGCCTTTACTGATCCTTTTTTGACAGCAGAATCAGTGTCATCAGCTACCAGATTCTTTAGAAATTATTCTCCAATATAATAAATTCATAAAGTCCAGATTGTCCCACTAAGCAGATTTTTTTAATAATGACTTACGAAGTTCTTAGAATTCACCCTAAAAATATTATTCCCATGTTATTCCTCTACACCCTTCAACTGAGTATATTTTGAGGGTGAAGGATGATATTTTGTTTACTTTTGGGACAAAAATCAAAGGATATGACATGGAGCAAGTTAAGGAAAACTAAATTATAATTTCTTCTTATTAAGAGTTATAAATAGATCTTCTTTATCTTCTGGATCTTCTCCTTCCACATCACAAAAATCACAAAATTATAAACAGTTGTTAAGGTGAACTTTTTGTCATTAGAGAAAATAAGTTGTCTTCAGAAGAGTTTAATTATAGAGAATTTATAGAGAATTCAGAATAATTAAATCAGTGGAGCTCTTTTTCTACAAACTAATACAAAGTTGTCATAATTGTATCTCTTGTGGTAGTAACAGCATGTTTTCAACACTCACTATGGCCTCGGCACTCTCTAAGTATGGAAATTTATCACCTCACTTATGCTTTCCAACAGTGTCTCAATGCAGGTGTTGAAAGATCATAGCTACGAGTATCAAAGCTATATTAAATATCCAAATCTTTCTGGCTCCAAACTATATTCTTAATCGTAAGATTCTGTTGCCTCTTAGGAAATAATATATTACTTACGCTGTGTTAGGAAGCCAGTATAATAACTCTTCATAATTTAGTCAGTACTAGTAAGTAACCTTTCTTGATAATTGGAAGTTTCTTTAAACATTAAGACAGTACTTATTACTGAAAGATTCCATCAATGAGTTACCATTGAAGAGTGAAAATTTTTTTGCTATTATACAAAATGTCTTCAATTTCTATGCCTTTTATGTCTTTTTTTTTGTACTTTTAAAAAAAATCCTCTTTTTTTACAAAGACATTCTCTGATGCTGCCCCAAGCAATACTTCACATTTACCTTTTGATTTGCTGCTTTGAATTTACTGTTCAGGAAACCAAAGCACAAAATGTTAAAGCCATGGAAAGGGTAGATTAAATAAGCTCTGATGAAAAACTGAAGGACTCAGTAAGTCTATCCTTTTTACATGCAGTTCTGTAAGCATTTCTCCACCAGCTGTGATTGCCAGATTAATGACCTACAGGTAAGCGTGACATTGGTGCAGTTTTTTAATTCTCACAAGTAATTGCTAATCTTATTTCTTTAACTATTGGTAAATTTTAAATTCATTTTTTTATTCACCTTATGTGATAAGGATAAAGTACTTCATAATTTTCAGTTAAAAGAATTGACTTATTTACCTTAGAAATAAATGTATTTTATTACTTAGTCATTTCAATTGAGCTGCTTTTTCTTACTGTTTAAATATTTTTTGTATCATGTTTTTTCTTAATTGAGAACCTATGTGAGTCTTAGTTTTGTGAACTTTGTATTTCTTTTCTTCTACTATTAGGTTTTAACTAAAGAATTTTACAGTCTCCAAGCCTCTTCTGAAAAACGCATTACTGAACTTCAAGCACAGAACTCTGAACATCAGGCAAGGCTAGACATTTATGAGAAGTTGGAAAAAGAGCTCGATGAAATAATAATGCAAACTGCAGAAAGTAAGTATGTCTTTCCCTCCTATTCACCCTCATGGTGTCCCTTCCCTTTACCATCTACCTCCCATCCCCTGCCACAAACACAGACTCTTTTGGCAATGGAAGAAACATAGCATCATTTTAAAACAACTTTGGTATATACATCCTTCAAATACAGTTGATGAATATTTTTAAGCAATATTCTGGGTTTTTCATATGAATTTTCAATAATTGTAATAAAAAAGAGGTTAAATATGATAGATTTTATCTGTGTATTTAGTTTACCCATACAACAATTATTCAATATTTCTGTCTCCAGTAACTGGAGATACAGAGTTCATGCAAAAACTTTGACAAACAAACTATCTTGACAAGCACAGGAAGCAGGTGATATGTAGGACTTGGTAGAAATACAGAAGGGATCATGAATTAATATACCATGGAGGTGAATAGTATCTAAGAGAGGAGATGATACTTGAATGTGTCTTGAAGGACAAATGGTAATCCATTGGATGTACTGTGTTACAATTTTTTATTTTTAATTTCTGTGTCTTTTTTTTAATTTCCACCCTCTTACTCTGCCTACCTGACTTGTCCCTCATTTTAAGGGATATTTTAAATTAACACTTCACTGTTGGATGTGACATTTACATTTGACAGAATGTACATTTGACAGTACATTATTGGTTTTCAAAAGTCAGAAATAACTGGCACTCTTATACCATATGATCCAGCAATACCTCCTAGGAATGTACCCAAAAGAATGCGACTCAGGTTATTACAATAGCACCTGCACACCCATGTTTATTGCAGCATTATTCACAATAGCCAAGGTATGGAAACAGTCAAGATGCCCCACTACCAATAAATAGATTAAGAAAATATGGTATTTATACACAGTGGAATTTTTATTCAGCCACAGAGAAGAATGAAATTTTGCCATTTGCAAGTAAATGGATGGAACTGGAGAACATCACCTTAAGCAAAGTTAGTCAGGCTCAGAAGGCCAAAAATCACATGTTCTCCCTCATGTGCAGATTATAGATCTAAAACAAATGCAGTAGTATTATTGGACATGGGTCATACACTAAGGAGAGAATGTGCACAGGAAAAATAGGGAAAGGGAAGGAAACCTAAAACTTGAATGTGGTTGATGTGCTTACTGTAGAGGAGCGAATATAGTAATCTTAAACTGGCAGAGGCCACTATGGAAAGGGGACAAGGAAGTAGTGCAGAGGTCTGATAGAGATGAACCAGTGTGGGTTGCAATACACATGTGTATGGAAGCAGTGCCAGGAATCTCTGTATAGCTGTCTTTATCTCAAACTAGCAAAAACTCTGTCTTTCTTTTTATCTCTTAGTTTTCTCTTCAACAAAATCAGAGAACAAGAGGGTGGAACAGGTTCTGCCCAGAAAGGGGGTGGGGGGAGGCCGCCCAAACAATGTATACACATGTGAGTAAATGTAAAAATGATAAAATTAAAAAAAGGAAAAAAAAACTGGTACTCTTATAAAAGTAGCTTTAATCTTCACTTGAAGCTGAATTCGAATCTAGGAAAAGTTCCTTATTATTTGGGGCACAGTTCATGTAAGGATTATATTCTGAAAAGGAAAAATTTTATTTCATTCCTAACATTGTGTTCCTTTCTGTTTCTATGGTCAATATCTGATCAATGAATAGATTCCAAATTTATCTTTAGTTCCTCCACTGGAATCAAAGCAATCTTTATAAAGTATAGATATAATCATATCATATACCTGCTTCAGTGCCTCTGTTGTCTTTATTAGAACACCATAAAATACCAGGCATGATAGTTAACACCTGTAATCCCAGAACTGGAAGGTTGAGCAGGAAGATGACAAGTTCAAAGCAGCCTGGGCTACGTAGCAAGACCCTGTCTCAAATAATTAATTAATTAATTAATTAATTAATTAATAAAAGTCAGATTCCTTAGTGTGACTTTTTATGATTAGACATGTTCATGTTTTGCCATTCCCCTTCATGTCATACTATTATTTTGAAAGTTCTGTACTCTTCTGTAACACCATAGCTTTGCATATGTCCTTCTGTTTAAGCAAATTAGTAACAGAATGGAACTTCCTCAGTCTGAAAAAGGGCAGCAAGAACCTACAGCTAACACCATAATTCATGAAATGTTAAATGTTTTCTCCATTAAAGGCAAGAACAAGACAAGATTTCTATTTTCATGACATGTTAAACACTGCATTTGAGTTCCTAACCAGTGAAATAAGGCAAAAAAGCAGCTCGGTGGTAGAGCACTTGCCAAGCATGTGCCAGATCCTGGGTTCAGTTCCCCAGTACTGAAAAAAAAAAGAGGATAGAAAGCCAGGCTATGGTGCCTGCCTGTAACCCAGCTACTCCGGAGGCTAAGGCAGGAGGATCACAAGTTTTATAGCAGCCTGGCATTGTAGTAAGATCCTATCTAAAAAAAAAAGAAAGAGAGAAAGACAAAAAAGTATATAAAGATCAGAAAGAAAAAGACTGCATTTTCAGATTACAAAACAACCACTACAACTGACTTGTAAATTTAGCAAAATATAAGGTTATTACACAAAAATATACGAGAAGAAGCAATCAGAAAAATAAATATAAAAAGCAGTTTCATTTACAATAGTACCATAAAACATAAAATACTTAGGAATAAATTTAACCAAAAAAAAAAACCTTGCAAAATATTACTAGAAGAAATTAACTGCCCCCAAAATCAAGATATATATCATGAATTTTTTAAACTTGATTTTGTCTTAATCATAATACCAGCAGGCTCTTTGGTATTTCATTTATATGGAAATACAAACAACCTGAAATAGCCAAGGCGAACTTGTAAAAAGGACAAAGTTGGAAGACTTACTCTCCCTAACTTTGATACTTAATATAAAGCTACCATGTAAAGCTAGTGTATAGTACTGGCATAAATCAACAATGAGACAGACTGCAGAACTCAGAAATAGGACCGTATGCAAATGAGCACTTGATTTTTAACAAAGGCAACAAAGCCAGCAACTAGAGAAAGGAAAGTTTATTCAGTAAATGGTGCTGAGCCAGGCATGGTGGTCCACTCCTGCAATCCCAGCTACTCAAGAGGCAGAGGCAGAGGGATCATGAGTTCAAGACCAGCTCTGACAAAGGTGAGAAGAGCCTGTCTCAAAAACAAAATACAATCTGGTGGTGTGGCTCAAGTGGAAAAGCACTTGTCTGTGTTTGATCCCCACTGCCACAGTAAGTTAATTAATTAATTAACTGTGCTAAAAAAATTTGAACATCTTACACAAATGGACCTTAGTGCACCAGTATTAATTTGAAATGAGACCTAAATGTAATAAGTAAAAGTTTAAACTTTTCATAGAAAACACAGGTATCTTTGCAGGTTGGGCTAGATTAAGATTTTTCGCACGGGTCTAAAAGCAATTACCATAAAAGAAAAAGTGGTAGAATAAACATCAAAATTAAAAACTTCAAAAGACATGATTAGGAAATGAGTACCCAAGCCACAGTCTCCAAGAAAGTAATAAATATTTTATATCCAACAAAGGAAGGTACCCAAAATACAAAAACTCCTTATTGAAAATATCTCCAAAACATCTATTAGACAAAGAAATAGTATTATTGTGGTAGACTGAAAACTGTTTTCCCAAAGATGTCTAATGTCTAGAATCTATGACTATATTACATTAGATGGCAGAAGACACTTGGCAGGTATGATTACATTACAGCTCTTCAAATGAGATCATACTATATGATTAGATTCATATAAAATTACAGAAAAGGTAAAATTAGCCTATGGTGAAAAAATTCACCATAGTGAACTCATCCACAGTGTCTGTGGATGGCTGTCACCAAGAATTAACTGGGAAAATAGACATATGGGAACTTCCAGGCTTTTTTAATGTTCTGTGCATCTTGATTGGATTTTTATAGCATGTATATATAATTCAACACTTGTACATTTCAAAACCATTGAATAATACTTAAGACTTATACCTTTTGCCATATGTAAATTTAAAAAAAAACTGTTAACTAAATGCTCAACTGTAACTGATGAGTTGCATATTGACTTATTGAGTGGTACAGTGTGCAGGTACTGGCAATTTACTTTGAAATACTTCAAAAAATAGGATAGACTCTCAGTTATATGGGTAGATGGCTGTATCATAAGCAAATGAATACAAATGTGTAACTATCCATATGCCATGGGTGTACATTGTATAACTCTTTCAGTGTTTCCATAGATCTAAATACATTCCTAAAATCTTTAGAAAAATGTGGAAATTAACTTTTGCTGTGATGTTACCTAAATTGTCATAAAATCTCCTCAGAATAAAATATTTTACTTGTCCTAGAAGATCAGCAACTAGGTTCTTCTCTCTCAATTTACATTGGAAATTAGAATATCTTATCCTACTTTAATGAATACTTGCTAATTAACCAAAAATTCAAAGATATAAGCATATTCTTTTTTAGTACTAAAATGTGTATAATTTTCAAATGTTTGCCATCTAAATCATCTAATTTCATAGACAATGATGGTTAGGCTTCATCTGTTAACATGTAACCATAAAGTTATAGTACACTGTTCACAACTGAATTGCTTTGTATAGTCAAATAAGTTTATTATTTGAATGTTTGAGGAGTTTTAGCTTTCAAAGAGCTTTTGACACTGTTAAAAAAAGAAAAAAAGTGCAAGTAATTTGGGATACCATGCAGGAGGATAGCAAGCTCAAGGCCAGACCCTCTCTCAAAAAAAAAAAAAAAGGGTGTAAGTATTGCCTGCAAGCTAAATAAATTCAGCTTTTAGAAAAATAACTGGATTTCTGATTGTCAAATTCAAGGACCTGTCACCCATCCTCATCCTATGTATAACTTCACTAGGCATTCACCACATTTCTCAAATTTCTCTTGTTTCTTGAGCCACCTGCCTTTTTTATTTCTTCTCCATCACTCTTGTTTGTCCCTTCTTCTCCCTAATTCTACCACTGCTTAACTCTCCATTATAGTTCCCCAGGGTCTTTTCTCTTACTCGTCAGTTCTCACCACCTACTTCCTTATCCTTCTCTGCAACTGTCTTTGCTGTTTATAAAATACGATTGTACACGCTTGTGTGGAGCTCCTGCAGGCACTGGTAATTTACCATTTACATTTCCTCTTCTCTACCTGAAACTTACTAATTTGCCTGTATTCTTGATTTTTTTCATAAGATTTTTAGCTGGTCACTCAAAACTAGCTTTTGTCAACCTTGAATTCTGCCTTTGTCCTTTTTAGAGTGCATCTCACCCTCACACCTACTCACCTAGAATCCAGGTTCTTTTCTCCATTGCTGTAAGTGACTGTTTTTCAAATGGAATATTATCACATATTGTTAGGAATTCTCTGTGTGACCAATCTAAACCATCCTTTTCCCTATCATTGGAATTTTTTCTGAATATCAGCATCAACAACAAATATCCATCAATGCCTTCTTACATTAATGTATGTTTGTTTCTTTCCACTGTTAGAACACTTTCTTTCCTTCTACCACTGCTCTGTACCCACTTTTTCAGAACGACTAAAACTTCATGTTTCACAAGATCATGCCTTTGCAAATGCAGCTCCCCCCATGCAATTCTCTCAGAATGTCAGTCTCCCCATAGTAGCACTCATGTATGATTGCTCTGTGCTCTGCTTCTAAGACACACTGTTCAGAGCTCTTTAGTAGCATTTCCCATGGTGCACAGTACATTGTTTCTATAATTAAGTCCCTACTAGAATGGTTATCCTATGAGATATAAATCATTAACTATTAAGCTATGATTTAGCATGTTCATCAGTATCTAACTGATGCTAACTAAATTTACTCTCTCCACTTTGAATTCAGAGCAAGAATCAGATAGCTACCTGGATGCAAGCTCTAGCTCTGGTAGAGTTGGATTGGAGGTCCTTTTGGACCTGGAGTTATCAGAAGGATGATAAAGGTATTGGTGGTGACATAGTTCATCTGTTTTACATGTCCCTGCCAACTACCGATCTTCCCTCTGAAAGCTGATCCTGCTTCACCATGAAACATGGGGACAAAATTAGAGGAAACAGTTACAAATATTTTATATTCTTTACTACACAAGGACCAATCAGCAATATGTGCATAATACATTGACAATTGTGCAAATTGTCAAGCTTCACGTACTACATACAGTATTTGACTTTGTTTTAAATCTAAAATACTTCCAAAAGTAGGTTTCTCTTTCTTAACATTTAATAAGGGTTGCTGAGAAATAATGTTATAAACATAATTTTTAGGTCATTGCTTTAATTCAAACTGGTAAAACTTTACTTTTTATGACCTTTGATATAATTGTTTTAATCCCAGTTTGCAATACAATATCATTACCTTTAAGCTTTTTACTCATAAGACAATAATCTGTTAGTTAAATTTCCCTTTAGGGGAATTTTTTTAACAATAGCGGACTTTAGAAATAAATTCTTTTTTCTGATTTTTTTTTCCAGCACTGGGGTTTGAACTCAGGGGCTCACGCTTGCTAGGCATGAATTTTTTTTTTTGCAGTTACAAAATTAAGGCCTTTCATACATGCATAGGACTGTACAATTTCTTCAGAGTAGACTATTTACATACATAATTTCATTATCACAATTTAAAATGTAAGCTGTTTTTCTGATAAAATGTGTATGTTTCCTAATCAAAAAGTAATTTCTGGTCAGGTGTAGTGGCTCAAATCTGTAATCCCAGCTACTTAGGAGGCAAAAATTGGGAGGATGACAGTTTGAAGCTAGCCCAGGCAAAACATTAGCAAGACCCCATGTTGCCAAAAAGCTGGGCATGGTGGAGCACTTCTGTAATTCCAGAGACATGGAGCACATAAGTAGGAGGATCATGGTTCAAGGCCAGCCTGGGGAAAGTGTGAGACCTCATCCAGAAAGTAACGAAAGCAGAAAAAGGCTGAAGGCATGGCTCAACCTTGCCTGCCTGGCAAGCACAAAGCCCTAGTTCAGACCCCAGTACCACCAAAAAAAGAAGTAATCTCTTTTTATCAAGAAGAGAATTAATGGCTGGGTGCTGGTGGCTCATGCCTGTAATCCTAGCTACTTAGGCAGAGATCAGAAGGATCATGGTTCAAAGTCAGCTTGGGGAATCAGTTCAAAAAGACCCTATCTCAAAAATACCTGACACATACACGCACACACACACACACACACACACGCACACAAATAATAACAGGGCTGGTGGAATGGCTTAAGTGGTAGAGCGCCTGCCTAGCAAGTGTGAAGTCCTGAGTTCAAACCCCAGTACTACCAAAAAAAAAAAAGAAGAGAATTCATAAATTGATGTAATTGTTTGTCATGTTTTATACAATAAATTTCCTATAAAAAATCTTTTGATTCCTTCAGAAAACACATCTGTGTTTTTATGCTTTATTATAAGAAAATATGTAATGATATAATCCCTTAACACCTTCTAAAATTAAACAATTCCAAGCAAGGACATTCTTTAAGAAATATGCTTCTCGAGGGGGTGGGGGTGTGAGGGAGGGGGTGGGGAGAAGGGGGGAGTAATGACCCAATCATTGTATGCACATATGAATAAAGTAAATTAAAAAAAAGAAATATGCTTCTACTTGCAAATGGGCTGTTTTTCATGTTCTTGTGATCCCTAATTCATTGCCCATAAACCCCTTTGTTGGACCGTATTAGAGGATGAACGCCAGGCCTCCTGCTTACTAGGTGCTCCACCATGTTAGCCGCACCCGCAGCCATAGTAACCTCTTTTATTGTCACTTCTGCCCTGCTTTTTAAGGGAAAAAGCTATTTCACATTATACATTTTAATATTTTTCAGTTGAAAATGAGGACGAGGCTGAAAGGGTTCTTTTTTCCTATGGCTATGGTGCTAATGTTCCCACAACAGCGAAAAGACGACTGAAGCAAAGGTAAAATCAATACATACATATCTTTCTTATCTACTCATGCTGATGTAATTACATGGTATGCTTTGTAATGTGCTGAATCGAATACCAAAGTAAAACTACTTTATTGTGAGTTTCATAAATATTAAGTTGCTCACGAAACAAAACAGCAATCATGCTTGTTAAGTGTATTTAAGTGATTTTTTAAGTGTTGCAGCATAGAATAGAGGTATATGTTAGAATTTTCATAGAATTAGATTCACGAATGTGGTGTCACATGCCTGTAATCCCAGCACTAAGGAGGTTAAGACGGGGATAATGAGTTTGAGACTAGCCTGAACTACATAGCAAGACTCTAACAACAAGAAAAAATAAAGTTTTATAAAGTTCTGTAAAGACCAAGAATATTTATAGAAGCTCCACTAGTTCTAAGATGAGGGACCGCTTAGGAATGCACTAACAGAAAATTAGACCTATAGTAATTAATTTTCTGGTTGACCTGCCTGATTTTTTTCCCCTACTCCTCTCTCCCTAAATTCATCCTGCTTTGCAAAAACATCTCACTGCTCCATGTACTACCGTATCAAATGTGATATGGTCCAAGCCCCTCCATAGCGGGCCCATCTCCCCATCCTTATGTGCATCACTACCCAAAACAAAAGTAGGTTTGTCTCTTCCTGTAAGTATCTATTTTCCAACATCCCTGTAACGTATTTCACTTACCTCATCAGCTGTCATCTCTCATGTGATCTCCCCAGCCAGACAGAAGGCTCTTCAGGGTCAGCAACTACACTTACTCTCTTTACCAAGTTCACAGCAGGGCACCTACTAGAATTGCTTCTTTATCTCAGTATTCCAGGATTCAAAGCAGCTTATTTCTTTATTATGTTATATAAGTTAGCTTAGACATTTGCAAACATTACAAAATAAGTAAGAAAAAGTCCATCTTACCTCTGATATTTTGTAGAAACTTTCAAGTGATGGCTCAGAGAAGAAAATGTCTTTATGGCTGTCTAAAGTGGTGTAGGGTATAGCACACTTCATAGGAAATAACAAGAGTGCCTAGAACTTATGTCTCTTACTGGCCAAACTAAGTATCTGCCTAATTTAGATCAAGGATAGACGAATAGAAAGTACCAATTTGTAGCTACATTGGTTAATTCTACCTGGTGAGGACTCAGCTATTTCTTTTGTTGTCGTCATTTCTGGTTTTTGTTTGTTTGTTTGGTGGAACTGGGGTTTGAACTCAGGCCTCGCAATTTCAAAGCAAGCACTCTACCACTGGAGCCACACCTCCAGTTCATCCCACTCTAGTTTTTTTTGGTTTTTTTTTTTTTTTTTACCCTAAGTGGAGGTAAGGTATTGCCAACTATATGCCCAGGTTGGCCTCCAACCTTGATCCTCCCAATCTCAGCCTTCCAAGTAGCTAGGATTACAGGCATGACCCACTGGCACCTGGCTAAGATTCAGGTATTTTGAACTTAGGTATGATTTGAAAAATTGGTTGTAGTGTTATGTATACTTCCTGATCCTTCCAAAGGCCACTATGACTGAACTAGGATATTTGGTGCTTTTTAAGTACATGTCTGCTTTTGAGTACAATGTTCCCAAGGGAAAACATAGTATCACAAATAAGAAATTTCTCTATCAGTGAGAAATGATAGGTAAAATGCTCAAAATTGAAGTCTAATGGAAAAATTCCATTATCTTCTTATTTTAACATTTGACTCCTTCAAAAAGAATCTTTGTTACAAGAAAATAAAAAGAATTTTGCTGTTGTAAACTTTCTTTATCCCCAAATGTTGACTTCTTCTGAAATGGAAAGTAGTTTTTGCCATTGCCTCTTTTTTTTTTTTTTTTAAGAATTTACAAAAGCAGAAGTTGGTTTCTTGATATCTAAAGATTTAAAGAACCACAACTGATTCATATCCCAAATAATCTTAACTGTCCAAATATTTCTAAAGATTCTATCACTGCACTATCTGTGTGCCTTGAACAAGTGCCTAATGGGTGTGCTATTAATACCCCTGCCAGCTGGTGCCGGCATTCTTCTCATGGTGAGCCAGAGGGTTATTTTGAGGAAGTGCTTCTCAGGTCATCTCAACTAAGGAAAGGGAACATTATGCATTCCTAAACCCCATTCAGTCAACAACTTTTATTGAGTGCCTACTGTATGCATAAAATTGACCAGCTGCACAAAAGATCCCAGCTTAGGGTCTGGTGCATTTCTGAGGTTTATAAAGTCCACTTTTGATTTCTTAAGGGATATTTGTAAAGGACAAAGGTAATATAGCCTTTGAGAGAATCTTTACTTAGTCTTTCATATTTGAAATTAAAGCAATGAAAATTTAAGGTGAATTATAAAATGTTGTGAACAGTAAATGAAGAATTTGCATAATGAAGTTTTCTTTATTTATCAGCCTATAAGAATATATATTAAAATTTCAAAGAAACTTATCTAACAACTACTATGTAATGTATTTCTTTCATATTAAATTTGATTTTAAAATCTCATATATGCAATAGCCAGAATTAGATAGCTCAGAGTAATACTTAATTTCAGGGAGGTTTCTGATTAGAAATGTATATTTATTTTATAAAATCAGGAAAATTGCTGATAATCCCACCACCCAATGTAACCATTCAGAAATTTATAAAGATACATGCATTTCCTTATATATTTTGGACAGTAATTTAGGAGCTTAATTTTTTATCTTAGTATTTCATCCTGAATGTTTTCTTGTCAATGAATATCCTTTTTAAAAGATCAGTTTTAATAGTTATCCAAAAGTTTAATTTTAAGACTTCTGCTTTTAAGTGCCATGTTGCTATTAATAAATTGGATAGCCAGTGAAAATTTTTATTGTCTTGCTACCCAAGGAATATTTTAAGAATAAAAGAGAAAACTGATTCGAAGTTCACTACATGTGCCTGACATAGAGTAGATGTTCAGTAAATGATACTTGGCTTTATCAAGTGATACGTTGTTAAAGGAAGTTGCCTAGTTAATTTTAGAAGAAAAGCTGCAGTTTCAAAACTTTCCAATAGCCAGAACTTGAGTATTCATTTAATAATTTTGTTTTAAAATTTTAATGAGGCCTCTTGAAATACATAAAACTATTCTGAGATTTAGTTTCTTTGGTAACAGTTTCTTGAGACACTAAAATACCAATTTCCTGTAAAGTAGTAGCATAATCAGTTTTTCTAGTTTGAAAAAACTCCCCAAAATTTCTCTTAAACACATTATAATTATAAAATTAGGTAACTCTCATTTTGCAGTTTCTTAGGGGTATGACAATAGCTAAGTATTTTGTTAAACTCTTTCTGGGACATACTTGTGGAAAGTTAAAAGGTCTTCTACAATTAAAGTAGATTAAAATAAAATGGGCTGTTCCTGACTTGACTGAACTTGAAAATCTGAAGTAATGTTTTTGTTTCAGTGGTGACTGTTTTGAAAATAGCAAACAAGATTTTCTAGTTATGTGTTTTGGTTGTGCTGCCACGCTAACTGGGTGACACCCAGGCTGATCTGAATGCATGGGGAATTTTCTGAAAGTTTTTAAAAAACCTTTTAAATTGTAAGATTTACTATATACTACAAGCCTTTTCTTTTAGTATTTCCCTGATTATATGAAGATCTTTGCGTTGAAACCTTCATGGCATACTGAGCTTCATGATAAAAGGAAAAAACTGGCAAATATTTCTGCTTCTTAATTCTCACGGATATGAGTTCTCATTTTTGTTCTTGGGAAAGTTGTACTTACTTGGTTTAGATTGGTATTAGGAATAGTCCTTTAAAAAGTTACTGTAGTGACCAGGGCCATGGCTCAAGTGATCAAGTGCTTGCCCAGCAAGCACAAGGCCCCGAGTAACATTTAAAAAAAAATTGCTACTGTTCTAGTCATGATCAGTTTGGAAGTATAAACGTATAGAAAATAAGGAAAGTTTCCTATAAGCACAGAAAATCAACAGGAGACCACTCTGTATTCCTCAGTCATTTGCAATGAAGCTTTCTGAAACTACTGCCGCATATGCCCTTTAAAAAAAATTTTTCTTCTCATGCAATAGAAACAAAGCTCTGATCTGCTCAAACTGAAAAAGATTAAAAAGCCAAATGTTGTTTCAGACCTAGTAACTAACTAGTCTGCTTCACATATACTTCTATATTTGGAGCTTTGTTAATACTAAAAGAGCCATATCAGTGTTGGAGGACTCAGAACAGAGCATCAGCCCTCTGTTGTGCCAAATGTCTCAGGTATAAATGAAGCTCCGTTTCCACATTGGGTGGCCTAATACCATTACAGAATTGTGGTGGGAGTAGGAAGCCCTGATGGCCACTGACAGACCTGAGAGAAAGAACCTTATTTAGAAGTAAAGAAGTGGTGAGAAAGTGAAAAGGTAACCCTCTGCAGGAATTCATTTTACCAGGGAAAAGGTAAAATTTTCATTTAATATTTAGACATGAAACCACACACTTGTGGTATTAGTTTCTAATTGATGTCCAACTTAATTTTGGTAAAAGTAAAAATCACATAGCAATTAATATAATTACAAAGAATTATTGTATATTGTATTTACTTTAGTATCTTAATTTTATGAGTATTGCTTTCTTGAGAAGTTCAGAACATTCTATCCCAAAAAATAACTTTAGCAAGAATTATTTTTCCTGACTACATTTGTAGTTACTCTTTATATAGAACTTGAAAAGGACTTATTTTCATTATATGTGCATGGTTAAGGTGACATAAACTCAACAATTCTTCAGTTGCCTTGCTTTAACTTTCTGTTAGCTAGCTAAACTCCCTTCCCACTTCTAATAGCCCAGATTTCTAAACAGGGTCCACCTGTGACACCAAATCACTCACCAAAGCAATATGTGACATGCAAAGATTTAAGAGGTTGAATATTCAAGGGGTAAACTGGGGTTTGTCTTCTTCTCTTACTAATTTACACACTTTTTTGGTTTTTGGTGTGACTGGAGTTTGAACTCAGGGATTTACACTTGCAAATCACCTGCAGTCCATTTTG